AAAAAAATCAGATATTAGAGTTTTCTGTATCTCTTTGCACTATTTAGTGGCCATCTGGATATTGGCAGTCCAGACCTTGTAGCACTACCATTGATGGAATTTTCCTTCCAAGTCTAATAGTGAGATTTGAATACTATGGAGTCTACTAAAATTGTCCTCCACGTCTACTATTAATTTAGAAGGTATAGATACGGATGCTACTGTCACATGTACCTTGATGTTAAGATATTTAAGATGAGGGGCAATTAAATGACCATGGACCTCAATAACAAAGAAACCCTATCGCTGTTTGTTGCCTACAGAATGGTGGCTTAGCAAAAGATCAGAGAAACTGAACAAGTGGATCTAGTGTCGTAAGTGTTGTGTGTATGTGTGTGTGTGTATACCAACAGAACCCACAGCTACAGTATTTCTAAACCAAACTGATTTGAGGGTGCTGCACATCCCAAAGGGATATAGCATATACAATTTTGACTTGGCAAACAGAGTTTTCATTAATATTATATCAATCTCTGCTATTCAGTTAAAAAAAAGATAAACTAAGACTCAAAAAAATCACCATTGGATTTGATATAGTTGTTTACTTATCAAACAACTATACTTGTTCACTATACTTATTACTTTACTTGTTCACAATAATGAATAAAAAATGCCCAGGTTTCAGAGGAATTTCTCTTCCATTGCATTTTATGCTACCTTATATGATGAGTTACATAGATATTAACATAACTGAACTTTGCCTTTTATTATTGATGCATTTTAGTACTTCTATTAAATCCTCAGCCTAAATGTATTTACACTTGAAGTTATAATAAAACTATCCTCACTATTTTTTATCAGTTCACCCTTCACCAAGATGAAATTGTATACTTTTAATAATAGAATGAATAATTGCACAAACAGTTCTACTGGGAATTATACACAGACTTTAATTACAGTCAATTTCCAATTCATATCTCTTACAAATGGAGAGTACAGAGAAAATTGGAACTATTCTTTTGTTCTGAGCAATTCCTCTGTTAAATAATTAGAGTGTTAACACTGGACTGTAGCAAATGAATATGTATCTAATGCAACATTAGATACTGTCTTAACTTTGATTTTAGTTTGTGAATTTGGCATGGAAAACATACATGAATTTATCAAAATAATTTTATCACTACATATTAACATGTTCTGTCACTTTCTCTCTAGGTTAATTAGTTTGGGCTTCTGCCAAGAATTCAAAAATGTGCTTTATAAATGGGTCTCAGTTTCTGCTTCTTTTATCTAAATATACTACAGATGGGAAAGGTGTGCAACATGTATATTTAGCCTGATCAATCTATATGTTAATATGCTGTTGCCCATCTGACAAAGATTCTCATTACAAATCAGTGATATCCAAATTGAAAACACTTTTGTACACTATATATTAATTTCAGTATATGAGTAGTTCTATTTATATAGAAGATCTCCCATTATATATTATTCTTCACTCTTCTTTCTCAAGGTTAAATATGCTCAGCTCCTTCAATCTCTTCATAGGACTTAGATTTTAGTCCCCTATTCATTGCTGTTGCCTTCACTGAACCTTTTCCAATTTCTCCAAATTATTCTTAAACTAAGAATATACAGTATACAGTGCCCACAACTGTATACAGTATTTGGACTGTTTGACCAAAACAGAATAGAGCAGAATTACTCTAAACAAAAAGAACAATTCAAACAGAATTACTTTCTGGGATTTGGAAATTATAACTCTTGATGCTTCTTAAAATTGCATTTGCATTCTTTGAAGCCACATCATATTGCTGGCTTATATTCAGATTGCAATCAACTATTATTCCAAGATCTTTTTTGCAAATACTATTACTAAGCCAGATCCTATAACTGTCTCATCCTATAACTATTTCTGTTTCCTAAGTGAAGAACTTTCACTTATCTCTATTAAATTTCATTCTATTACTTTCAGCCAATTTCTCTAGCTTATCATTTCAAATTTTTCTTCTAGAGTATTAAGTATCCAACCCAATTTTTTGTCCTCTGCAGATTTGATAAGCAATCTTTCCATTTCTTCATCTAAGTCATTAATCAAAACATTAAACTGTAGATGATTCAGAACAGAATCCTGTGATACCTTACTCAGTATCTCTTCCTCATTTGACAAAGAACCATTGATGAGCACTCTTGGAGTACAATATGCATCTACTTAATGTTCATGTCATTCATCCCACACTTAACTAACATGCTAATTAGCCTGTCATGGGTACTTTGTCAAATGCTGGAATTATATCTACCACATTCCTTAATCTGTTAAGGAGGTTAATCTGTCAAGTTCTCTGTATCCATCAAAATTTCATGTTTCATGACCCATAGGTTTAAAGTTTCATGCCCCCTAGAACTGGCTATCTAAATCAATCTTAAGATCAACTTACTCATTTATTTGATTTATATTCTGGCTTTCTTCTCAATCAAGTACTCAGGGCACAGTTGTGATACACAGTAATATTTCTCAAACATTCTAAATTAAAACAAGTACAACCAAAATGTTGTCAGAAGGATACCAGTGTCAGTTAGGAGGCATATACTGATACCTATTGGAGCAATTAAACCTTCAGGCCTTGCTACACCTATCAAGCTGAATTTCCCAGTTTTACTTCCCATCCCCACTTGGCACCTCACCAGACTTTCTAGGAGCTGGGAGGAGAGAAACCACGTGACAGTAGCATCTTCCAACGGCAGCCTGACATTTCTGTACCAAGATAATATTCTATTTATAGGTTGTTTTCTTTACTTTCTATTTACTGTGTCAATGGATTAATGATTTCTTTATGCAATTTTCATCTAAAGAGGGTTGCTGCTAATTTTCATCCTGTAGCAGTACTGTTTAATTAGGCAATCACACATATGTCTACATGCTGGTAGGAAGAAAAGCGACAGAAATTACACAATGCGTTCATTTAAAACTTTGCAAAAGATATTCTTTAACTATAAATTAAACTGGGGGAGGGGATTAAGAAAACACAGAGGAAAGTATTAAAGAGCCAGAAGTAAGTGGATGCTGTTTAGCATACTCTATTTTAAAAAGATATTTTCATAAACCACATTTACTTGTACCATGATGGCATATTCACGTACAGTCAGGTGAAAAAGAAAGTACACCCTCTTTGAGTTCTATGGT